GCTGCTGAAACTAATTATTCAGCTTTGGAATTGGAAACTTTGGGTATTCTCTTCGCAGTTAAATCTTTTAGAGCTTATCTTTATGGAAGCAGATTTATTCTCTACACGGATCATCGACCATTAGTTTGGTTATTTTCGATGAAAGAACCAAATTCGAAGATAATCCGATGGCGTCTACAATTGGAAGAATATGATTTCGAGATCCGCTATAAACCAGGTAGGTTGAACATTAACGCCGACGCACTGTCACGAGTTGAGCTGAACAAGATTCCAGCCACACGTAATCTTTCCGTAATCGGAAACACGTCTGACACCGAACTTGAATCCGCAGACGAATCCGAGACGATTCGAGACCCGCCGCCTCGTCTACGGTTCACAGTGCCGTCAATGAACCGATCATTAGCATTCCAATAGTTGATAAGGCCATAAATTTGAAACGCTATCAACTAGTTTTTTCTTACTCTGAAGAATCGGATGTTGGACTTAAAGTCGAGACATTCTTTAAAGATAAAGTGCGCGTCTCTGCTGCGTTGCCACGTCAGGAGACTGAAAAACATATTTTTGAGTTTCTGACCGGTCATGTTGTTCCTTCCGAACAATATGGTTTGTTCTTTAAGGATGAAGAGTTATTCCCTGTCTTCTCGAGAGTAGTCCAGAAATCTTTTAATAACATAAATTTCACAAAATTTACGTCTCTCTTGGTGGATGTTGAGTCGAAAGATTCTCAGCTTTCAATTATTAAGAGTTATCATCTTTCGCCCCAAAATCATCGAGGCATTTTGGAAACCGAAATGCACTTGTCAAAAAACTATTATTGGCCGAATATGAGAGAGTCCATTCAAAATTTTATAAATGATTGTGAACTATGTAATCTTACATCCAATTAAATTAAAATTTAATAAAACTCCCACGCCTAATAGACCTTTTCAAGTAATTCACATTGATTTATATTCTGCCGAGCAGCAAACTTTTCTTTCAATCGTTTGTGCTTTTTCGCGTTACGCTCAATGTTATCCTGTTCATAACAAAACTGGTATTGAAGTAATGGATAAATTATTCACTTTCTTCTCACATTTTGGAGTTGTAGAAGAAATAAGATTCGACCAAGGCGTAGAATTCAGTAACGCCGTAGTTAAGGATTTCTTAAACTTTCATAAGGTTAAATATCACATGACCTCTCATAACCATCCAAATTCTCAAGGTATTGTGGAACGATTTCATTCATTTTTAGCTGAGCATTTGAAGCTTTTCAAATTGCAACCTGCGTTCAAAGACGAGAAGATCACTAAGCTAGTTCAAATGGCTGTTTTAGCTTATAATAACTCTATTAGTAGCGTCACTAAGATGACTCCTTTTGAAATAATCAGCTGTCATATGAAGAATGAACCATTTAATTTGAACGATGAAATTATTTCTCCCCAAGATTACGTATGTAAGCATTGTGAACTTTCTAAATTCATTTTTGATAAGGTTTATAATCGAGTTGAGGAGAAAAAGCTAAAAGTTTTGAAGAAAAGAAATGTAAAAAGAGAAGATCCTCCCCCTCTGAAACAACCTATTTATAGAAAACTTGTAAAGCGTATTGCAAATCAGAAAACCTCTCCACGATTTCAAGTATCCAAAATTAATAAATTTAATAAGGATAAAGGCACTTTGGCTGTAGTAAATCCTAAGACAAATGTGAAGCAAAAGATTCACTTGGATCAAATGAAGAGACCTAAAAGAAATCAGGGCACATCGTTTGTTCCTGATACTGACGGTGCCTCAGACGGTTACTCAGGTGCCTTGGGACTGTCGCAGCCCTAAGTGGAATTACTAACATAACTGTTAACCCTGGTGTATTGCCCCTTAGATCAGGATACGCGAATCTTCAGAAAACTTCGCATACTTTCGTGCATTATCTTAACATCACTAATCTCCGAAAAGAATTAACGCTTTTTCAGAATTCCTATGGTTCTCTCAGTAAAATGGTACTTGACAAACATGACAATTACACGCCTAGTTTGCAATTAATAAAGGTTTTAGGAAGTAGCATTTTGGATAAATTAAATTATCTTGCTCCCCTTCCTCCACGCCCTAAGCGAGGAATTGCGAATTTCTTGGGTCGTGCAATTTCCTTTGTTACTGGAAAAATGGACGATCTCGACCAAGAAAGGCTTGAAAAAATCACTAGGAATCTAGATAAAAATGAGATAAACTTGGAGAATCAAGTAAAGAATGGTTATAGTTTAACGACTGCCATAATAAATAAGAATCAGGAGACATTTAAGAGAGTTGAATAGAATGAGAAAATTCTCACTGAGAAAATTGGTTATTTACAGAGAATCCAAAATCAAACTTTTTCAGAAATTCATGATCACCATTTTACAGAAACCTTAAGTTATCTGTCCAGTTACGGCTTAACCTTACTGACATTAATTCAAGAAATCGAGAATTCTCTTCTCTTTTGTAACAACAATCAGTTGCACCCTTCTGTTATCTCTGCAAATGATTTACGTCAAGAAATCAAGAGCATTTACTCCTTTTATCATGAGTCTATTCCTCTTGATCTTACTACCTTGCCTCCTTATTTGATGGAAGAACTTTTGAAGGTTTCTTGTGAAATCAAACTCGGTAAAATTTATTATTATATTTCTGTTCCCGTGAATTTTGAAACCAATTTTACATTGTATAAATTGCTCTCCCTTCCCTCCTATGTACGGTCAGAGTATTACTTATCAGTTATTCCAGAGCGCCGTTTCATACTTGAAGATCCATCAACCTCTACTTACCGCTCACCCACGGTGTCCTGTGTGAAGCTACCAACCCGCTTCCAGTGTGAAGAAGCCTCGCCAATGCATCAAGATTCCTGCAGTGTTCGAGCCGTCAAAAGGACTCAATCTTTGATCTGTCCGAAAGTTTTTGTAAATTTAAATGATAGCTTTGTTCAAAGTGTTCCTGAAACTTCCCAGTATGTTTTCTATTTTCCCCGTACTGAAACTGTTGAATTTAATTGCCCTTCTTACTCTGAGAGAAAAGTAATGATTGGAATTTATTTGTACTATAATCGAAATTGCGTTGTAAGCTTTAGAAATCAAACCTTACCCACGAGTTTTAATACATCTGCCGAAATGCTCATTGCAGACTTTGCATTGAGTATGGAAAATTCAAGTTACTCTTTGTTACCTTTTAATGTGAGTTTGAGTCATTTACAAATGGAACTAAGTCCTGAGTATTACTCCTCTGCACCTACCCCTATTCAACCCGTAAGATTTGAAAATATTCATCATCTTTATGTTCTTTATGGAATTTGCACAATTTTATTTGTTCTATTTTTGATTGTCTTGATCACTTTTTCATGTAAAAGAGCTCATAAAGCCCGCCAAACTCCTGTATTGGCTACTGGAGAATTCATTTCTTCTCCCTTACCTGTCGAACCAGAACCTGAAGCTCCAGGTCCTTCAATTCCTCTTTTACGTTTTTCCATTTCAATTCCACCAGCAAAATAAATTAATGTAAAAATTTCTACGTTATAAAATTTTCAATTTCATATTCTACTAGACGAAATTTCAATCTTAAGAAGGGAGGAGTTATATTCTGAACATTTAGACCGAGGTCCGGCAACACGGACACGAGCCGAATCCGCTCGCGCGCTAGAGTGTCGCCGTGCGTTACCTAATTAGGGCTTTGCTCTTACGAATTGCACTTATTTGGTCATTCTGCTGAGTCCCGAACTTTTGTCAGCAAGTTCTGTCCCCTCTCTGGCCCAACTTGCGCCTATGACGCAAATTGGCCCGGGTCATTTGTCATTATAAAAGCTCGGTCACCTGAGCCTAATTTCAATCGTCGTCTCTCGTTTGGAGATCCCCCGTTAGGCCCGGTTCCCTCTACCATTACTTGTGCGTCTCTACCCATGTAATGTGCTAGTTGTATTACTCTCCTGTGAATTAAATAAACTCTTTGTATTCGTTACATTGATCTTTATTAATTTGTTTCGAGCATTATTGCTCTGGCGCAGTTGCCACTTCGCTCTTTAATTAGCCCAAACTTAACTTGTATGTATTCCACTCCGACCCCAAGAACCTTCCTGTAGGGCTCCCTGCACCTTCCCCTTTCTTCGCCTCAATCAAGCCCTCGTTTACATTACGTTATCAGTTTTCAGTTCATCGCTCGGTCAGGTTGCCTTTGACGCGAATGGCGAAAGTTCCGCGCATTTGATCGGTGGTTTGTCATCTTCATTAAGATGCAGATTTTCTCCTTTTTGTCCTAATTCAAACTGCACTACCTACAGGATAATTTGCTCGGATAATCGTAGGATATTCGGAGGATATCCGGTGGGATATTAATTGGATATTCTACTATTGCGATGGATTATCCCAAGAGTATCCTATGAATATACTACTGTTAGTTAGGTTTGAGTGTGATAATCCCTACAAAACAGGGGGGGGGCTGTCCACGTTGGCAAAAGATTTCTCCCGATTCGCTTGTTCTACGTACTCTGCTATTCCGCCGATCCGATTACATTAGTCTAATGAAGATCGTGCGAGGGGGGGGGGAGTAGTGAAACAGCAAATCGGTAGAATTCGTCACCAGAAAATTGAATGTGGACGTCCGAGACTAGTCTCTACACTTCGATAAAATTGAATGCACGTATTATAGTCGGATCCAAGGGAAGGGGGGGCGTAGGGGGCGTCCGCGTTCTCCTGTTTGCCAGAAAAGAAGAAGGAGAGAGATAATGGGAGGGAAGAGAGAAGGAGGGAACGGACGAAAAAGAAATAAGGACGCTTATATTCGGTGTTTATTCATGACAAAATTGACTCAACCTGCATTTCAGATGTCCTAAAATTTCGAAAATTTTCTGGCAGAAGCCCCCCGAACCCTTTTCCGTTCTTCCCGTTTGAAGTGTCTGGATCCGCCTATGGCACGTACACAGAAATTGTGACCTTTTTAAGAGCGTGGCAGCTCTGATTCCCTTAAATTTCCTTCAATTTAAACACTGCTTTCCATGCATACTGTTGCAGGCAACGGTTTGCATCACATACCCACGGGTATGATGAAGTCTTTGAAGAAGCTTCGGTGGCTCAACGTGGGGGATAACGCCTTAACAACGCTTGATGACCAGGCACTGAAAGGACTTAGCTCGCTCGAGGCGCTTGATTTGCGCAATAACCGCTTGCTCAGTATTCATCCAATGGGTTTATCTCATCTACACAATTTGGTGAGTTCAAACACTTCCTTCTCTTTACTTTTAAGTATTCGTCGGGTCCCCTTAATAATAGGAGAAAGAGGCGTTAAGGGTCTTTTCCGCGGCTGCACCTGGATGTTTTGTACTGTTAACCTCAAGATAGGTTATTAAACGCAACGGTTTGCATCACATACCCACGGGTATGATGAAGTCTTCGAAGAAGCTTCGATGGCTCAACGTGAAGGATAACGCCTTAACAACGCTTGATGACCAGGCACTGGAAGGACAGCATTGCGAAGCGGCAATTAAATGCATGAAGGTAGGTACATCATCAGAAAAGTTGTGGGATCCGTTTGCATTGTTAGGGTCATCCCCTAAGGGGATGAAAGGATTGGACACGAGATACTTGGAACGGATGTAGGTGTGATGACAAACTGTATTGCGAGATTTGATGAAAAGACATTAAGAATAATTTTAACCTCTATTTTGTGTACCTTCTACATATTCACCCCCAAAAGACAGTCGTTATACCCCCTTGTTAATATCTTCATCTAGTCACTTTCATAGAAATTTTTGGTAAAAGACTCTTGTAATTTTCCAAATAATAAGACCATTTGGCACACATAGCATTCCAATGCACCGCTCTAACATCGAGCATCTCTAATCTTAATGTCTCCTATTACTTGTGGCAAAGTTCAAATAACTTTTTACTTTTCGTGTAAACCCTCTGTACTTCGTTCAAAATTAGAAGAAGGAGAAGAAGTTTGTCAATTATTTATTCAAAATTGTGTACTGAACAATGTCCTTGATTCGTTTTTGCCATATTTTAATATTTTCCATCCAAAAATTCTAGTGGAAAACTCAAAAACGTCGAAAAAATCATTACCGTAGCCTGTAATAATCTGTAGGTCATTAATTTTATGTTAGGTTTTCAAAAGATTCAAGCCCAAAAAAAATAAAACCTTGGCAAATATTACAGCCAAGATGTATTTAAAAGAGTATTTTTTGGTGTTTATTTCAAAGTTTAGCATAGCAATAAAATTACGCCACCCGGGAGCAATGTAACAAAATTTTCGCATCATTACCGTAGACCCTGTTAGCGGCACTTTTCCGCCGCTAGAACGCAGTCTGTGATCACTTATTCATTCGGAGTGTTTTGTTTACCGTCTAGTGCACGATGGCCGGGTTGTCCGGATTTTGAACTTCATTAAAAGATAATTTCTCTTGTTTTTATCTGCTGAATTAAATTTTGGCAATTTGAAATTCTCATTACCGTATACCTACTTTTTTCTGTCAAGGAATGAATGAAATATTAAAGTAGTGCATGATTCATATTGCATACTAAGACCTAACCTCAATTTGAAAATTACAGCGGAATCCACCAATGCAACTAGATTATACACCGACTTTCATCATAAATCATCATTACCGTAGCCATCATTACCGTAGCCTCTTTCCAA